CGGTGGGGTTGTCCGGGAGGCGCGGCAGCTGCTGACCACTCCCGTAGCCACGGGAGGGTCCACGAGCGCCACCACCCCTGCCAGACCCACCTCGACCTCCTCCGCCGCCCCCGCTACCCCAACCGCCTCCCCTACCACCGCCGCCTCCTCCTCCCTGTCCGCCTCCTCCACTGCCGCCACCCCCAGAGCCACCCCCAGAGCCTCCACCACCCCCGCCACCACCCCCGCCACCCCCCCCGCTGCTGCCACCACCACCACCCCTGCCCCCTCTGCCCTTGCTGTTGTTGCGCCTTCCACTGGGAGTAGACGCAGCGCCAACTTCCTCAGCACCAAGGAGGTCGACTGCAGCAGCGGTAGCAACTGAGGGGAGGAGAGGGGAGGGAGTACACCCTTCAAAGAAGGGGGAGTGGGGGGTGCCACGAGAGGCAGCGACAGCGACAGTGCTCTTCTCAACCTCGAGAAGGGCCTTCTCAAGCGAGTCAAGTGTGAGCTCAGTGGGGTCCATGGCTAGGAACTGGTCCCTGACAGTGCGAAGGGAGTCAGGGAGGCGAGTGATAAGAAAGTACAGGGTGAAATACTGCGGGGGGGGGGTTCTTAGCGAGAAAGGCCGGCTTGAGAGCGGCACGGAAGCGATCCTCACTAGAGCGGAGGTAGGTAAAGAGGTCAGAGACAGTGCGGAACTCAGCTAGATCAGGATGCAGGTACGGCAGCATGAGACGGCCTACAGCAGCAGTAGCTGGGGAGGAGTAGTGAGAAACGACAGCGTCATAGAGATCCTTGGCCGTTTTCTGTCGGCTAAAGTGCGCGCGCTCAGTGACGGGCAGGTGGTTGCGAACAGCAAGGCGGGCAGCTGCATCACGCATGAGCCACTTAGACAGATCCTCTACAGCGTCGGCAGCAGGGGCTGGGAGCTTCCCCTCAGTGTGTAAAAACAGGGAAATGCCATCCTTAGACTCGCTCTGCAGGAACAGCTGGAGATCGTCGAGCCAGACATCAAACGTAGTCGCGCGGCCCTCAGCATCGAACGTAAGGACTGACAGGTTAGCCATAGCAGCAGTAGCTGCAGCAGCAGCAGCAGTGACAGATCGGGTTGGGCGGCGCGGCTCGGACAAGGCGGCGCGGCTCGGACAGGGCGGCGCGGCTCGAGCTCAGTGGCGGAGCAGCAGCGGCAAGCAGCAACAGCAGCCGGCGCTCAGTAGCAGCAGCAGCAGTAAGGAGGAGCAGCTGCAGCAAGTAGCAGCAGCAGCAGTAAGGAGGAGCAGCTGCAGCAAGTAGCAGCATCAGCAGCAAGGAGGAGCAGCTGCAGCAAGTAGCACGGGCTGTAGCAGCAGGAGCTTCAGTAGCAGCAGCAGTAGCACTAGCTGTAGCAGCAGTAGCTTCAGTCAGTAGCAGCTGTAGCAAGTGCCGTAGTAGCAGCAGCAGCAGTAGCACTAGCTGTAGCAGCACTAGCTTCAGTAGCAGCAGCAGTGAGTAGTACTAGCTGTAGCAGCACTAGCTTCAGTAGCAGGTAGTGAGTAGCACTAGCTATAGCAGCAGTAGCTTCAGTAGCAGCAGCAGTGAGTAGCACTAGTTGTAGCAGCACTAGCTTCAGTAGCAGCAGCAGTGAGTAGCACTAGCTGTAGCAGCACTAGCTTCAGTAGCAGCAGCAGTGAGTAGCACTAGCTGTAGCAGCAGTAGCGTCAGTAGCCGCAGCAGTGACAGCTCGGGCTGGGCGGCGCGTAGTAGCAGTAGGCGCGCGTGGGCTGTGGGCGTGCAAACCAGGGGCGCGCAACAGGTGCGTGCGGGGCAGCACTACGAGGAGCGCGCAGCAGGTGCGTGCTAGGGGCTGGCGGGCAGCGTGAGTGGCGCGCGCAGCAGCAGGAACGAGGGGGGACCGGGCGTAGGGGCTGACGGGCCGCGCGAGAGGCGCACGGGGCAGCTAGTGCGCGGTCAGGGGGGTCGCACGTGACTAGGAAGAAAAAATCGCGTCTAGGGCAGAACAAGGAACCGTCTCGCCTAGGGCACGTTTTTGCATTTCGCGTTTCTCCTAGGGGCGCGACTCGGGCAGCAGATCGAAATAGTAGTGGTGGGCCCTTTTAAAAATTCGGTCCTAAGGAGCATTGTGCTCTTAATACCATGTTAGAATCACTAGCTAGGTGATGAATGTCGATTAGGTAAGGGGGGGGGGTACCAGGACTATCGAGAGAGAATGTTGTACCCTCTAAGGAAAGAACCCTACACAACCTAGAGTGAAATAAGCAGAACAATGTGTTTTGACAGCACCCTACTTGGTGACATGCGGATTTAGATCTCCTTGCAGGTGGGGTTCTTCTGAGTTATTGTTAAAATATACAACAGTGCATGACTACGGTTCTTTGTCTATAAATATATATAAATGGATAAAAGAGGGATATATAACAAAAATGATGCATGAATACTAGGGGAAAGGAAACATTCCCGAATTGATCGAGAGCGAAGAATCCCAAGGTACCAGCATCCAGTCAAGTTTACGTCGAAATCCACCTGAACGTTAGCCAAGCTTGGCAAACCAACAGCATGAGACTAGTTTGGCTTATGCAAAATTTCAACTTGTTGGCGAATTTTGAGTCGCTTGTCACACAGCTCATGGCCTGCCTTGCATTTTTTATTTCGTCGTCGTGGGTGCTGTGATTGGCGTTTGAGCGTTGCATGATGGGAATGAGAAAGAGATAGGATAATTTCCATCGCAAATCTGCATAATGGGGCCTCTAAAAATTCAGTGCAATTTTAACGGGACGGCTGATGGGTAAGGTGAATGCACATCAGCTCACAATTGCACGACGTTTTTTGGAACCCAGCTCATAAAATGGGACTCCGCGCAGCTCCTCTTCATGTTATATATCCACAAGCCATAACTCTAGAACCGCACGGTTCACTAATCATGTTAGTCTCCTACTCTACCGGTTGAATAGCCCCGAAGCAGCGAGCTTTCATTAGAATGGTGCTCTGATTTCTCCTCGTGCTGGTCTTGACTTGCGGACCGCAGGATAGTGAAGGACCGAATCGCGGGTGACTTCTAACCGATCATGATGAGCACGATCGACGTAAGACACGTCATGCTGTGAAGACAAGATGAGTGTGTGAGGTGATGAATGGGTGAAGGCAAATAAGCAGGCGCGACAATGTCAGAATGCTTTTCTTTGTGTGTGGGACCATTACCCATCATTGTAGCAACTTAAAGCCGGAAGCCCAAATTTCACAAGTTTTAAAAGGATGACGCGAGGGGTTTTTTCTGGTTTGGGTTTTGGCGATTGATTTCGATTTCGGGCATTTCGTTTTTTTCACCAAACCCAACCAGCCCACGTATTTCGCCCTGGGGGTTGTGTCAGCACCCGAAAGTCCCAAATTGCAGGTGCGCTACTTTTCAAAGCTTGCACAATACACTTCGTCAAGTTTTAAAAGCATGACCCACGCGCCTCGCAATTTGGGACTCGGGCTTTAACCTAGTCGCTTGCCTTACCCCACGACTACCACCTCCCAATTTTCTCCCAAACCCATTCGCACAGCCAGATTCGTACACCAATCGTTCGCTGGGCAATCGATTCCCTCCCCTGGCGACTCGGCCAACCCTCGAGTTCCCTTGCTGGTCGGAGACGCTCCAGTGCAGTGCAAAATGCATCAGCAGGGGCAGTTGAATCCAACACTGAGGCAGATGAGTACGCAGATGCTGACGAACCTAAAGCATCAACTACAGTGGAAGAAATAGAAGCTGCCGAAGAATCAGAAGGCGAGCTTTCCTACAAGGTGTCAAACGATACATGTATATTCCTAGGTGTATAGTTGTTAGGCTAGGTGTACACTTTGTGCTAGGCTGTTAGGACACATCACAATTGCAACATCGATCTTGTAGGGGATCTGTGTGTGGGTGTACAGTAGTTCCCAATGTTGTGTATCCCTATTTCGTAAATAGTCGCGAAGACTTGAGACAATTCGCATAGGGCGATAGATCTTCCAACATCGATCTGTCACAGCAATTAAAACCCGCCTATTGCATTCAAAACATTCCGAAACGTTTCTAACCCCGCCAAATAAGGAACATGAGGACGATCGCGACACATGTGGCTCGGAGGCGATCGACGCTCACACCTTCGGTGTGTGACCCCGATCCTCCTCCGATGTTTCAATTGTGACGCGTCCTTAGGGTTTGCTAAGGGTACATTCCTGCGGAGACACTTGTGTCTGAACCCCCGTTTTCCCGAGTCGCGCCTGTAAATTGGCCAAATGTAGTGTCACAAACAACCAATGTATTGCGACTGCGAGCGACAGTTGGGCACGGCCAGGTGGTCACTTTCTATTGGTTGCGATGTACAGGTTCGGGCCCTCCGCGTTTTCCCGCCGGGCATCCTGGCTAAACACATCATCCAGCAACGCAAAACACACTAGTGCTAACCAGAGTAGAGGAACTTGCAATTTGGCCGAGTCGGGAGGTTTGCACCAACCTATCACACACAAAGGCATGCACTCAACTACTCTAGCAAGTACAAAAACCCACGCATCAAACACCACAATGCACCACTCCTGCTAGCAACCATGGCACAGCCTCGCGAGGTGCCATTCCTCATGCGACTTCTGGTCGCATGGGTGACGTTCTACTACACCATCTTCCTCGACGCCGTCGCCAAGTCGGTCGGAGGTTTGCTGGAGGCGAACGTCTTCACAGAAGATGAGGTCTCGGCCTCTAGCTCACACGGCTCCAATCGAACAGCCGAGCGGAAGAGAAGGGCAGGGCTTCGCCGGAGGAGGTACCACCTACTGCTAGAGGACCTGGAAGGCATGGAGGAGGACGAATTCAGAAACTTGTTCCGCATTAACCGCGCCATCCTAGATTACATTGTAGTCGGGATGGCGATCTACATGCAGCCGTACGTGGACAGATATCTCATCAGCCACGAGGTGGCATGCCTGGTCGCTATCAAATACTTGATACATGCTTGTTCGTAGACTTGTCTCTCGTCTTTGGCCTCTCCAAGACCCTTTGCCACATGCTTGTTGACGCTCTGCTCATGCACTTCCCATCCGTCTTCAAGCAGCAGTGGATCCACTTCCCGACCCGTGACGACCTCGACGAGATGGCGGAGGAGTTCCGCGCCATCAAAGGAGTACCTGCTGTAGTGGGGGCTATAGACGGCACACACGTGCACATGAAGGGGATGGAGGGGCACAGGCAGGAGTACTACACGCGCAAGTCATGCTACGCCGTCCAGCTGCAGCTCACATGCGACGCGCGCTGTATCATTTGGGACTATTTGATCGGATACCCGGGCAGTGCACACGATCAGAGGGTGTTCATGAACAGCGCGTTACACGAAAGGTTGCACAACGGCGACATAGCGCCATACCAAATAGTGGGAGATGCAGCCTACCCACTCAGGGATTTCTGTCTGACCCCCCTACATGCACCCCGTGAAGGCCTAATGGATGACTGGGAGCAGTGCTTTACTGCCAAAGCGCAACGCGCATGGCAGTAGAGCGCTGCATCGGCGCCTTCAAAGGCCGGTGGCGTCTTTTCGCGGGCCGCAATGATTGCAAGCTCTGGCGCATTCTTGCAGGGGCGTCTTGTGGCGTCATCCTGCACAACATGTGTGAGACAATGGGGGCCGTTAGGCGCGTCAACGCTTCGTGGGCAAACTTGCCCCGAAACCGGGATCCGTGGTGGACGCGGGGCGCAGTCGCTGATTTCAAGTGGGAGCCATGCGACCCGAACACGCAGGCGAATCTGTGAGAGAGGCGCAAGCGGCTGGGCGAGGCTCTGGAGTCGTCTTACCTCACTCGGCGGCGCCGCGAACCCACACCTCCTCGCCCGCATCCGGGTTAGAGGCGCTGTCGCCCGCCTGCCCGCGACGGAGCCAGCCGTCGTCGCCGCCTTCGGCGGCGTGAGTTGCGGGCATGTTGTCCGCGGGCCCGGGGAAGCCGTCGCGGGCAGGCGGGTATGCACGCGTTCGCGGGCAATCTGCGCGTCCTGCTCCATCCATGCGTGGACGAGGCCTTCGAGCCTGTTCATCGCGTCAGAGTGGCACCCCTTGATTGTCTCACACACCAGCTTGGCGGCGGCCATCGTTGCCGTCTCTGCCACCCGTGGGCACTTGGAGGTGGGCGTACCCTGCGGAGGTGGAGCTGCACATGCGAGATGCATTGTAATCATTACAAGCTGTGTGGTCCGAACAATAGTGTTAACGGAAATATATATGCGAAAACACAATATATTCGATATCCTAAACCACAAACATAACACCCGTCGAAACAACGCAATCTTACCCGTGAAAGTCGGGGTCAAGGTGCAGGGTGCAGATGTGGACGGGACCGCGAACCCGCACGGCACGTTGACGTGTGCCGCGCCACCACCGTCGACGGCGTGCGGGTTGCCGACCGCCTTGTTGTTCTGGTAGAGCTCCATGTACGGGTACCAAGGGGGCTTGCACACCGCCCCCTTGCCGCTCGCCCGCTCCCCCTTACTAATCTGCTTGTACATGGTGACGAGGTTGCGCCACTGCTTCTGCAGCGCATTCACGCCACGCACCCACCCGGGATTCTCCTGCTCGAGATGGCGCGCGAGGCGGGCCCAGTACTGGGATCCCTGCTTCTCGAGGAGTTTCCCGAGCTCGTCCTTCATGAACCAACGTGCCGCCACGAAGATCGTGCTCTCGCGGTGGGACCACACGCTCCGCTTGACAGGGTGCAGGTTGCGGTTCTTGGCAGCGCCACGCGGAGGTTCCCCGCCCTTCCCGGCAGTCTTGGATCCGGCCGCGGCAGTAGCACGGGAGCGACGGGGAGACGGGGTAGCAGGCTGGGCCTCCTCGGGCGCGTCCTCGTCGTCGTCGGCGTCCTCATCGGCGTCGTCTACATCTCCGGAGGGGGACATGCCCTTGTCCTCCTCTTCGCCAGAGTCCGCGTCGTCGTCGCAGTCGTTGTAGTCGGAGTCCTCGGCGTCGTCATCGAAGGGGTCGTCGTCAACGACGCGGGATGATGCAACCCGGTCGGCATCACGGCGCCCACGAGTAGGGACATCGCGCGGGGCCTCGAACGAGGTGTCCCCCGCACCCGGCGCACCATCGGGCAAAGGGCCGGCAGGCTTACGGCCGGCAGCGATCTGCTTGTTCATCCAAGCGATGTACGGGATCTCGTTGAGATCCCGCGGGCATAGCTCGGCACTACTAGCTACGCTCTTGCGATTACGAGCCATGGCAACGGCGTGGAAGAAAATGCAGGAAACACGAAGATCAGAGATGGGGTTTGGAGTACAAGAATAGATTGGAACGGGAAGGAGCTGTCACCCTGGTTGGAACGGCTTGCGCAGCAGGGCAGGGAAGTGACCGTGTGGTTACATCCACCACTCAGCTGTCAGCCCGGGCAGAGCGGTATCCTTTCCCGCGCCAAATTTGCCCATTTCGGGCGTCCAGGTGCATGCTGTACAGTGTGACATTTCGACACGCGTGCGATTTTTAGGAGGTGACGGGGCCTCGTGTAACTCGTCCGCGACACCCGCGCAATTCACGCCACCCAATGTAAAATACAGTGAGGATCGCATTACTGCGGTCCGCGTTTGTGACACAGTACGTTATATGCATTCTTTGCGAGTCACAAAGTGTTTCAGACACAAGTGTCTCCACAGGAATGTACCCTAAATCTACCCCTGTATGGCCCGCTGTTAGTCATTCTCATTCGTTTCTCTCTTTGACATGGTATTCAGATAGATTAGGACCGATTACTTCCGGTGCGCCTATCCTAGCCCACCTACCCTAGGCCGCAAGTCACCACCCCTTAGAGAGCCCTCCCGACACCCCTTAGCGCGCCCCTCGTGTCGCACTCTAGCAAGACCCCCGCGGGCCTCTCGCGTCACCCCTCGTAACACCATTCTTCTTTCACTCCAGAGCAGAGCACATAGCCCCCCCCTCCCATTTATATTACCTTGTACCTACGGTCTCGGCGTCTATTGCTGAGCCTGCTGCCTCGAGGGAGATTGCAGCAGTTGCTGCCTTTGGTCGGCAGCAACACCGCATGAGCCGTAGGAAGGGTGGTGGGGGTGGAGGCGGTGGAGGTAGTGGAGGTACTGGGTCGTCTGGAGGTGCTGACGCTGGAGGAGGTGCAGGGTCTTGTGGTGCGACTGGTGGAGGTGCTGGTCCTGGTGGGGGTGTGGTGCAGCAACAGCCGCCGCATCATTTTCAGCAGTAGCAGGTGCAGCAGTTTCAGCCGTGGGTCCTGCATGCAGTTTCAGCAGGAGCAATGGGGCTCTGTCCTCCCCGGGAGCACTGACCGCGACCATGGGCTCTGCTAGCACTTGATCCGGACTGGACCACGTGCCTGCCATTTCTGCGGTCGTGGTGACCACTCAGCTGCACGGTGCTTCAGCCGCCTCTCCGACCTCTACCGCGTTTGCTACGGCTTTGCGGCGCAGGTGCCGAACTTGTCTGCACTGCTCCGGCGTGAGCTGCCAATATTTGCTATGGATATGTCTGGTATTCATGATGCTTTGTTTTCTACTCCAGTGATGTATGCTTGTGACTCTAGTGTTGCTGGACCTTATTATTCGTGTGTGCCTAGACTAGGATCTCTAGATGTCTCTAGTGTAGGATCCTCTGCTGTTGCTTGCACAGGTACGACCACTTCTATCGCATCACTCAGCTTCAGGCTTACCTCAGGTGCGTCTTGGTGTCTCTTCCGCGACCACACCGGCCTCACGCCGCTTCCGGCACCAGTCCCAGTCGCCTTAGCTGACCCCTCCTCAGGACCAGTTGTCGCTCGTAGCAACACTGCTCTCCCGTGTCTGGCAGTCCCCTCTGGCTCCCGTACAGGTTTGCACATCCCCTCGTTCTCTAGGAACTTGGTGGGTGTTGGTTGTCTTCAGGAACTTGGTGTCACCACCACGTTTCCTGGAGGCGAGCGGTTTGCGACCTGTACGGACACTACCTCTGGGGCACCTCTTGCCATGTTCCACCGGGAGTCTGCGTCGGGTATGTTCTGGATCAGGGCAGGTAGCTGCGTCGTGCTTGTGTCGGTCGCTCACACACCCGTTGCTACTGTGGCACCATTGTCTTGGTCACCCCACTCTCCATTGTCTCCGTCACATATCCCAGCGCGGTCTTGTCTCAGGTCTCCCGTTGTCGTTCCCACCTCTCCCTACCTCGTCTATGCCGCCATGCACTCCCTGCGTCGAGGGTCGTGCTGCCTCTCACTCCTCCTTGATGTCTCACGCCGCTACTTTCTAGTGGTTGTGGATGAATTCTCCCTCTACACCATGGTTTTTCCTTTCTAGCGGAAGGCTGACGTGCCTGATGTTCTTCTCCCGTGGCTGGTAGCTGTCCGCACCCAGCGTGCCCAGTCTGTGCTTCGTCTACACTCAGACCAGGGTGGCGATTTTTGTCGCATACAAGGCATCTGCCAGTCGGACTCGCCGCAGAAGAATGGGGTCGCTGAGCATCGCATTGGCTTGGTCATAAAGGCTCGCTCGTACCTCCATGATTCATGGAAGTGCACCCCATTTTCGGTGTCCTTTTGCAGTCCCCTACGCTGCGCACCAGCTTAACATGTGGTCGCGTGCCTCATGCCCGCAGGTTTCGCCAACCCTCTTGTGGACAGAGCTAGTGGGTTGCCTCATGTACATGATGACTTGCATTCGTCCAGACCTTGCGTTCCCTCTCAGCATCCTTGCTCGCTTTGTTGCAAATGGGAGACACCGTTTGTTCACTGGATGGCCGCTAAGAGGGTACTAAGGTATTTGGCAAGTAAATCGGGCATGGGGCTTGTGACACACTGACGCGTTGTGGGCAGACGAACAAGAGACTCTTAGGTCGTCACAGGGCTACTACTTCAGCCTTGGCTGTGGAGCTGTTTCATGGAGGTCCACTCGCTCGTCGTCTGTAGCCTCATCTAGTGATGACGCAGAGATCTATGCCAGTATTATGGCTGCACAGGAGCTTCGCTGGCTGGCGTTCTTGCTCACCGAGTTAGGTGAGCCGCCTCGCTCTGGCCCGGTGTTGTTCGCTGAAATAATGGCCATGATCCTCTTGTGTCAGTGTCAGGAGCCTCAACTAATGGGCAAGGTGAAGCACATCCAGCTGCAGTACTTCCTTCTGCGTGAGCTGTAGCAGAGCGGTCAAGCACGCGTTGTTATATTGTCCTCTGAGGCCAACACCGCGGATATCTTCACCAAAACACTCCAGCCTCGTGATCATCATCGGTTCTGCACGCAGCTTGACCTTGTTCCGACAGTTCCTCACTTGGTTTAGCCTTGCCCTTTGTATCTTGCACTGTATGTGATGCTGTTTATATCTAGATGAACTCTTGGATTGGCCTTCTGGCCATTTGTCTCAGTAAGTGGAGTAGTAGTACCACCTTGATTTGCATCCATGCTTGTTGTTTCTTGCTAACTAGTCTTGTGACCGCTTGTCTCAGTGGTTGGACTAGTTGATCCGCCCTGAGTTGTTGCGTCTCTTGATCTTCCGATTCCCCTCACCTAGCCCATGGGGGTGTG